CCAAAAGGGGGAAGAGTGGAAAACGCATTTGTTCATGGGCCTTAGGGTTGCCCCTAGGGGCTTAGGGGACACAGAGGAATACTGCGAAAGGAAAGAGACACATCGCAGAGGCTCTTAATGCCGGAACGGGCACGTCCGGGCTTCACCGTCTCTCGGGGAGTTAGTGGCCACGGTGAGCTCTGGGGCAGCTCCTGGAACAGAACAGGGTCCCCCACCCCGAGCTCCCCCTTCGTGCTCTCATGCCCGGGGAGCTGATTCTTTGGGCCTGGGAGGCGGTGGGCGTGCACCCGCGGGAAGGGGCCGTGTGACACAGTAGGAGCCCCGTGGTCCCCACCGCTTCCATGTGGCCACGTCCTACAGGCAGGACCCTGTGACCCGTACCTGCGTCTGGCCTCAGGTGGAAGGACGTCGGAGGCCTTGGCAGCAGGGTGCTCGCTGGGCGCACTCTGGGGCACTAGGCCCACCCGCTGCCCCTCCTGCCTGGGTGGGACCTGAGGGAGGTGCTGGCCCTGAAGTAGGTGGGTCGGCCCAGGCCGAGGCCTGTGGGACCCAGAGGAGCCTCACCTTGATGGGACCACTGACCAGTGTTTCATTTGTTCCACAAACTGGCCGAGGACACACATGCACTCGTGCTGTTGTGACAGTGGCCACGAGAGCTCAGGCCAGCGGGCCAGTTCCCAGCCCTGGGTCGCGACCGAGGCACAAGGAGTGTGGGAGCACGCGGGGGCCGCGTTAGCGTGTGTGTGACGCCGCATCCAGCTGTGAGCGGGGGTGTGCCTGTGTGAGGTCTGCGTGTCTGCACCGCACGGACAGGCCTGGGTGGGCCTGGAGCCCCCGTGCACCTCCAGCAGAGGGGGTCTCCCAGGGAGGTGCCCTTGCTGCCAGCAGCCCTGACTCTGTGCTGGGGCCAGAGCTGAGGGCACCGACCTTGGAGGTGTGGCTGGTCACGATTTCGGCGGCCACCCAGGTGCTGACGTCGTCTGCGCTTCTTAAAAGCTGTAACAGGTACTTGTCTTGGACGTAGTTGGGCAGAAATAAGCTGCAGGTTTTGGCCGACAGAGACCCAGAGGAGCTGGCTCTGCAAGAGACGCAGGCGCACGTCCCAGCCAGGACCCGGGATGGCGCTCGGCCCAGGAAGCTGGCGGGACAGGCCCTGCGAGGCGGGGGTCCAGCCGAGCACCACAGGCATCGCCCTTGCTCTGGGGGTGTCCAGGAGACGCTTGGGTGAGGCCCCAAGACCCTCCGGCCAGCCCTGCATCCCAGGCTTCTCTGACAGCCACGCCGGACACTCACTTGGGGACGGCCACACTTTTGTCCGTGACGCCCAGGGCCCGAGAGTTTAAGAAGTGGACTGGGTGGCACTTGTGAAACAACTCCTGCCGGGGACAAGGACGCAGAGGTCAGGCAGCGCCGGGGCCCGAGGGGGGGCGGTGAGCACCTGGAGTCACAGGGCTGGGCCCCCAGGGACTCTGCACGGCCACCCAGACAACAGTGGCTGGCGGGGGGGAGGAGGGGTCGCTGGGTTCCTGTCCCTGCTGTCACCTGCCAAGTGATGGGGGCCCAGGATACCTGGAGACCAGGGAAGGGGCACCTGGGGGCTGGGTGCCCAGTTCCAGGAGGGAGGGCCTAGCACATGTGGCTCCCTGCCCGGCCCGCAGGGCAGGG